AGATAGGACAATCAATTCAATAAACTCTGAGAGAGATTCATATTAGTATAACTTTGCTCAACACAAGGTGACTGACCGATTTTTCCCTCCCACACTTGCAGTTAAGTGTAGCATCTGTATGGTTGAAGCGGCAATGATATGCCGCAAAGGCCCCATGTCCAGTTCGAGCGGCAATTACGCGGGCGTAATGGCAGACAGCTGGTTGGGCTCTTTTGTTGGAAATATTGCGCAATGAAATGGGCGCAATATTCATGGAACGAAAGTAGAAGTTGACAAAAAGAGTGTCATGTTCGGATTACAGCTAAAAGTGTGGGAAGTGTGCGCTACAAGTACAAGTGTAAGCGACACGTAGCCTAAGCCACAGCTTAAACAAGGGTGGTACCATCTAGGCATAGAAAACCCCCGAATAACCTCCTTGTGCCCACGCCACACAGCCGCTCATATCTCCAATAGGTAGCCTGAAGCGCTACCATGTTGCCCATTCCAACCTCTTATATACACACAAGATCGTGTCGGGAACCTAGACGAAATGGAGGGCCCGTACTTCCACAACACTCCGTGTCTCTATTTCCAACACTCCTCCTGACCGACAAGATCGACCAACTCAGGCGTAACCATAGTATCCAGCAACCCAACTCAAGCAACATATGTGTGGCGGGAAAACATTATGTCCGGAGGGGAACACCCATAAATATGAGTGGCCTTAGAAGAAATCCCAACGAGAGGCGGCGAGGAGACTAGAAGAGGTTCCCAGAGGTGGATGAGAAAGGGACTGCTGGCTGTATAATTGTGCCTCGAACGGCATTGGCGGAAATAGGGTAGCGACAAGTTAATTGGTTAGGTGGTGAAAGTACCAGCTTGAAGAAAAGTAAATCCGAAATTTAAGAACAAGTGGTTGAAGTGCCAACTTGTTAGAGAATGTATCCGAAGGAAGGTATTTGTTAAGTGATGTCGAGTGGTAAATGTTCCAACCCGACAGAAAGAGAAAGCTTCCAAGTATGACAATTTCAAGTCGGTATTATGGCCGGCTTGATTGAAAGTATAAATTAAAAGAAGGCGACCCGTAAATATCCCATCAAACTTTGTGTGCAAGAAATGCCCCATAATCACAAGTAGTCGAATTATAATGCCTCCTTTCTATTCACCACCTTCGACAGTCCTTAATTGATGTCACAGTCTAAGCATAGGCACTTGGGCAACCTTATGGTCAGAGATAGTTTATTTTCAATCTATGGTGAACTATGGATCGAAGAGAATAATAACAGCTACTTTATATATGATTATTATCCCAGCCAATGACACGGCTTTCTATCCGTTTACCCGTATATCCGCACATCCGTTCTCGTATCCCACTCTCGCGCCTCATTCTCGGAAGTTATGCAGTATTGATATTGCCACTTGTAAGCCTCTACTTCCTAGAATAGGCTCCGCCTAGTATCACGCTAAGCCTACGTTGGACAGCGTAGGCTACAGGTAATTGTCGGCTTACAAGCCGTCACAACTGAGACTGAAGAATGGGTATCACGGCTCCTCCAAATTAAAGTACCCCTCAACCAAAAACTCTTCTGCTAAATCAGACAGAAGGCACACACGGTTGAGAACTCGGGAAGATTTGGAGGAAGAAAGATGCCGAGAAAGTGCCACGGCTCCTCCAAAGAAGAATATCCCTGGACCAAAAAACTCTTCTTCTACAACAGACAGAAGGTATAAAAAGGCGAAAATTTGGGAACGTATGGAGGGAAAACTGCGCTGGGAAAGTGTGAAAGACTTCGGTAGGCGATAATCGTCAAAGAAAGTAGACGTGAGGGTTCTGCAGAATTGATCGATCGATGGACTGTTACATCGTATCGTAAATGGGGCGGAATCGAAAGAATTGAATCCGAAAGAGAAAATAGACAACTATACTCAGTTAGTTAGAGTCATATTGGTCTCATAATCTGTTAGAAATTGACAAGGATTTCTAGGAGGAAATATCTCGAAGAACAAGTGTACAATTTCGGACAAGATTTTATTGATAGTTGTATATGATATCGAACTCTCTTCTCAATATGAATTAATAATATATACTACTCCGTTGACTTAGATTAGCATACACAAATAGGTCTATCCTTAAATACAGATTCCCAAAGCTTTAGTGATCCAGAACTCCCAGTGATCTAGCAACAACCAGCCACTTAATTATCGCAAGGTAACACTTCCTAGCCACTGCATTTCAGATACCAATGAGCCTCATGTCGCCCAGCTAAGCTTAACCATATGTAATCGAATCAATCCAATTGATCTTGATAATCATACTTAGAAATCTAAACCTTCATACATGCTAAGTCTAGATTTCCAACATCTTTTGTAATTTCTAGGTGCTGTAGGGCACGCTAGAGCGTCGGGTAGTTCTGTAAGGACTTGGCCGTCCAATACGTGATATTAGTTACGAGCTGTGGACAAGCACGACGTTAAATTTAATCAAAATCTAAATCAAAATCAAATCCTAAATGGGACGATCTCTCGAAAGTTGAAGTATTCTGGGTCCATAAAGAAATATCCTGTTTCTGATGCCTGACTTCAGCTGGTAATATTGATGCCTCAGCTTGAAGAGCGTAAATAGGGACGCGTTAATAAGCTCCGGAGATCATTGTTAATTCCTGAGTTTGAAGTCTTTACAATCTATTGGCTAGCATGCAAGTACTCCTCTTTCTATGCCATAATTCAGCGCGGAATTGACACATGCTAGGTAGAGTTGTCGAAGAGCATGACAGTGAAATCCTCGTGTTGCTGAGGCTAGATTTTGAATCCTGCCGAGAGTCCTATTGGCAAGCTACAGTCCCGTGTCTGTATGCGTTTTTGTTGTAAATATCGCGCAATGAATTGGGCGCAATATTTCTGGAACGAAAGAAGTCAACTTAAAGAGTGTCTTTTTTTTTCATCAGATTTCAATTGCGTATGCAGCTGTCTAGCTATGATACAATATCAGAGAAGTTTATAATAAATGACTCAATTTAAAAGTATAGCACGCATGCCTCGGATTTCATTTGCAAGTACCACTGTGAAGTTATGGCGGTTTTTTCTTCACCCTAAGTCAGCCCTCATCCGTGAATACCCACTCGGGGAAACGTCTCAAAAACCCTGAGTTATCCAGACATGCATCCATCATCTTTCAACTTTTTTCCGCGCGAAATATGGTCTGAGGTGTCTCCTTCCCAAGTGGAGTAGATGCCCAGGCTACTCAAACCATACCAGACAACACCACCAGGAGGCGGACCACAACACCTTCCATCGTTGGCTTGTTTTTATTGTATCAGCTGCACTCTGGCAAGCGAAGTTTTGGCGCACATAAAGCTCAATTCGTGAAACTCCTTGCCAAAATTCAAATTCACATGCTCGTCGAGACTGTATCCATCCTCTGCACCATTTTGTGAACTTGTCCTTATCCTTCTCACGTCCATCCCAAAGAACTGTCTCTCAGATTTGTGCACCACGCTTTTCTTCCTCCGTCGGGTATAAATATCGGCGTGGGCATGTACTTGGTGACCGGCTGAGGCCAGAGAAAGTCGACGAGAGGTGTGATCATTGGAATGAGGATGTACTAGGTCTTACTTGTAAACTTGATGAGGCTTAGGAAGGAATCAATCTCTTTGGGAGTGAAAATTTGATTTGGTGGTGTATTTTGACTCGTTGCCTCGTGGGCCAACTTGTTCGATTTTGCGAAATCTGACTGAAATTGGCTCTGGCAGAATATTTCACTCCCAGGTTCGTAGAGGTATCTCATGCGTTCGTAGCGACGTTGAGAAAGGGACTTCACATTTGTTGTTCTAAATTAGGGGTCCAAAAATGAAATTATATTTTACCAAATATGGAGAATACCAAGGACGTGCGTGCGAGATGTTTTGTCTCCATCAAGCGCGTTTCCCCATAGCACTAGCGCACTCGTGTTCGTAGCCGGAGCCGGATATTCCCAGACCCACACATAGGGCCATGATCTGTAACAGCATAGCCGCTTCTCATGCTTGCACAGCGCCATATACCTAATTCTAATACTAAACCAGTTTTTTCTATCTAACTTAATATTGTTCCAGCTCAAAACACAAAATTGTGATATTGTATTGGTCAGCTCAGTCTTTACAAGCTACTCAACGTGCCAGCACTTTTACCAAGCCTTGCAAGTAATACTTGGGCCAAAGCCACCCTGCCGTGCGCCTCAAACTATCAATAGACGTCTAAAATGCTCCTACCCTGTGCTACGGGCTGTGCCCGGATTGGGACTGGTGACTAGGACCAACCCGGCTAGATCTTAAAGCGCCAACAAAGCAGCGCTTACAGAGACGCGAAAGGTTGCATGGGGAAGAATGCAAGGATACGCACAAAGAGGGATCTAAGTGTCGCATAAGTATTAATGCAAGGTTGCGCACAAGAACGAGTCTCAGTGTTGCATAAGGATAATTGCAAGGTTGCGCATGAGGAAGGACCCAAGGGAGTACGTACTAAGGGGGGGAGGATGTCACAGGAAAGAGGGTAGCCGGGGAGAATGGAGTATTCTCAGGTAGGCTAGGAGGGGAGCTTAAACGCGACGCTGAGGAGAACGTAAAGGACAGGAGCCGTCGCAGGCAGATTAGCTTCCTAAGGAAAAATTATCAATTCCTATTGAGTTCACGTCTTTCAAGTACTTCTGAATTCTTTAAACCTTTCACACCCTGAGACATTTTATTTTCAGAAAGATGCAAAATACATATATATGTGCATTTCCACAAAAAAAATTATCTATCACCTACACCAATTGTCTACTAACAAAGCCTACCATGTATAACTCGACTAGAGTACAGGTTAATATCCACGTTGAATCTCCTCGAATAATCTGGTATGATGAAGTCATTTAATGTTGACAATTCCTGCTTCAGGAGAGTCTAGAACACGAGGAATACATGGTGTTGGCATTTAGTTCAGCCGTGAAGACGGGGAGACTAAACTGGCTGGGAACAAGCCGGCTATAAGCATCCACCTCGTATCACATGATCAATCATAGAGACCGGATCCAGATTAATCATCGTAAGGGCTGCCGGAAACCCGATTTTCGCAACCAGAGGAAAACGACCATGTCATCAGTATTGCGTCGCAGATTTTCGGCCCTCAGTGACCCGAGCTACCTTAAGAGAGCTAGTAAAGTTGTATGTGTCGGACGTAACTATGCGTGAGTAAAGGTACCGGTAGGGGACTGAACAAAGAGTTGACAATACGACAGCGACCACATTGCAGAGCTAAATAGTACAAGGCCGAAGTATCCCCTCTTCTTCCTGAAGCCGCCCTCGACGATCCTGCTGCCGGGAGAAGGTCCGGTCCTTCGTCCACGAGGCGTTACTCTACATCATGAAGTTGAGTTGGCCCTTGTAATGGGTAAACGAGTAAAGGATTTAGATCAAAACGATACTCAGGGTGCTCTAGATGCTATCGGAGGTCAGTTATCTTGCCCTCTTGCTGAGCAGACTTTATGAACTAATTCAGTATGAATAGGCTACGCTTTGTGCATCGATATGACTGCGCGGAATGTTCAAAGTGCGGCAATAGCTAAAGGATTGCCTTGGACTACTTGCAAGGGCTTTGATACCTTTCTGCCCACCTCAAGCTTTATTCCTAAATCTGCCATACCGGACCCACATAATGTCGAACTATTCTTGCGAATCAATAATGAGCCCCAGCCGAGACAATGTGATAGCACCCGCCTGTTCCTCTTTCAGATTCCGCAGGTCCTTGCGGCAATCTCAAGTGTCTTCACGCTCGAGAAGGGTGATATTATCATTACTGGAACACCAAAAGGAGTTGGTCCGGTCGTACCTGGGGACACTATGTACGCCGGTATCAATATTAATGGTGCAGAGCTCGATTGTGCTAAAATTAAAGTGCGCGTAGAAGAATCCACGAGCACCTATGAGTATTGCGAGTCGTGAATCTTTGAGAATATTGGGGGATCCGAGAATTTCTCTAGCATAGTATTTGTATTTATTTAGTAAAGTTGATCTACGCCAAAATCTCTGTAGTGACTAGATTCGGATCCTGTACGTTGGCCGTCGTCGTAGCTACCATTCCACAGTGAGAGCAAAGCCTTCTTTCCTCGCTCTGTGAGAATTCATTTACTGCATTCTTAATCTGACTTCCAAGATCGACGCAATAGAAAGCCACTTCGTCCACAATTTCCTTGCACCCATCGCAATACCATCTTAATCTATCGAGGCTTCCTTCAGGTCTCTTTTGTTCTAAAACGATACCAACGGTATTGGCGAAGCGAACAGGGTTATGCGGGACATTCGGAGGTAAGAGAAACATACAGCCCTCTGAAATAATTATATCTTTGAATACGCCCTCATCAACTACCTTAAGAAGCATAGCTCCTCGCCATTGGTAAAACCATTCGGCCGTTTCATTAATATGATAATCGGTGCGCGAGTTAGGACCGCCGACGATCTGTTGGAACTTTAAAACATCCGTCTAGTAAGTTTTAAAGACCATCTCAACTCACCATAACCGTGAAATCTTCATTGTAGACACAGTAGTTGTTTATGGGGGGACGAAGCAGATGCGCGTTTTCCTCAAGCCTAGACGTACGCTGTGAGACAATGCTTTCCATAACGGCCATCTAGCTAGCTTGCCACTAGTTGTTACTTACCACTTAGGTAGGTTCAAAGGAATCGAAAGCATTCTAAACCAGTTATACTGAGGAATTTAAGACGATGTAAGGTAATGACTGGCAGCTTTTACACGCGTAGGTCATGATTAGGGCCCTCTCTCTTCGGATCAACTCATCACGTGCATCTGCGCTATTTTATTATTATTAATAATTCATTTAATTTTCCTGTCTGATTCTATGACTATGTAGGACATGCAAGTACTCTCTACCTACAGGCCAAGGATACCTATACTAGTAGTATATCCCCTCATGTGCCTCTCATACAGCTCCTCTCTTCGGCCAACGAAACGATGGCCATTTGCAGGTGTATAGAAGACGGGAAAAATCGCTGAATCCATTCGGTGCGGGGCTCTTCTAATACCGACATTAGGGCTAGATACGAAGATATGGTAATACTTCCGAAGCGTTCTTACAGGGCGTGTCCCTCACTGTCCATAAGAGCACAGCATAAAGTTAATAAGTAGGAACTTACAACATGTAGCTAGTATCTTATTTGTAGATTCTAGGAGTCCTCAATAGTCATTGACTCAGTTAGGACTATAATACAAATCTAATCTAATCTAATCTAATCCGAAGCGTTCAAAGAGGCCGGCCAGCTGGGCGCCCTCCGAAAATTGCCTAGCCCGGATACGCAACCAGGATCCAGCACTCTGGCATATCTTTGTGTAGTCATGAATCATAGACGATAGAGATTGCTAGCTGACTTGTGGAAAGAGGCTTGTCCGCCTCAATACCGCCAATTTAACTTGATTGTTCGGGGATATAAACCACCCGAGCTGTCACTCTCTAGGCACCTCCTCCGGGCACTAATTGCAGCACGAACGGATCACGGCAATTTTGCGGCATTCCATCGCCGTTTCGACAACCCATACGCTCCAATGAAATGCCCTTGCGGGAAGGAAATTACTCCAGCCCACTTAATCCACTATAGATACCACGCACAACTCACGCGTAAGCTCAGAAGGTCAATGTCTCACGTTGAATTTGTCAATAAGCCCCTCAGACCCAGATGCTACGAAAGCTCCATAAAATTTTGCGCAGGAAACCGACCGTTTTCGTACTTCAGTGCCACGATTTCAAGTTTTCAGTGGATTTAAATGGGACGCATATTCGCTTCAGGGGCTGTACCCCTGTTAGCGCCCGTTTCGACAGAGTACATAACTCTTATCCTGTATTTCAAGGCCTAAACCAAGTGCACAATCTGATTCCATGTCAGCCTCAATTTTATGCAATTCCAACCTGTTTCTAGCTCTTTGCCATCACTTTCGTGACCGCCGACCGCTAAAAAACTACACAGCTCTTCTCATCTTGTGCTTGAGTGACAATAAGAATTAGATTTCTCAAATACAAAGTTATTTATTCACAAGACATACGGCTTTACTCGATACTAACCTTATTTTGCAGATGAATCCACCTCAAACCCCACCTTCAACACCTCGATTCAAACAACTATCCAAAGATCAAAACATTTAAGTAAGTAGAAATATTAAAAGCACGAGTTGAAATTAAAAGAAATTATAAAATTTATGGGCTCCATGAATCTGACAAAAACCAGACGCAGATTACCGTGCGACTAGGCATTTCTCGGGGACAAGTTAGTTATGCACTGCGCCGCGGAACAGTCTCCCCCAAAAAGAGAAAAAGAACATACTCAGGACTGAAAGCAGATGATGTTGATCAGATTATATCTTACGTTGAGTGTTAACTTGAAACCGCTGCAAAACATTTCTGGAACTCGCCTCTGGCCCCTTTAGACGTCTTGGTGTTAGCGAGCGGGCAATGCAAAGAGAACTCAAGAACAGAGGATATTAGCGACATGTGCCTCGTCTAAAGTCTACTGCATCTCAGAAAACTATGAAGACACACAGAAAACGGGCCGAAGCTCATCTCAATTGGACATATGAAGACTAGACGTCAGTTTTATGCACAGACGAAACTTAGGTAGAGGATAGAAGACATTCTAGAGAATGGGAGACAAGAAATGTTTATACATTCCTCTACAAGAAGAAAGTAGTTTAATGCTCTAACATTATGAGACAGACTTGCCAAGAACACAATGCTGGTTGTATTGGAGGAAAATTGAAGAGGATCGGATGCATGTCCTGGGGTTGCTTCGCAGGGCTAGAAAAAGGCCCCTGTTTATCTTGGGAGAAGGGTGGAGATGTATTAACTCCCAAAAATATTGCGATAAAATAGTTCCTCTTATCGATGGCATGGTCTCGATGAAACCTTGGCTTTCCGTAATGCAGGATAATGCTCCTGCCGACACAGCAGCAAGTACAATAGAAGATATAAGCCAGAGGCTCATTCAACCGATATTCTGGCCGGCCAACTCGCCTGATCTTAACCCAATTGAAGCTGTTTGGAATAGGATGGAGGACTACATCCAGAGTCATTATCCAAATCTGGGTTGCGGAAAGCAGCGAACTCAGGATAGTCTTCGCAAGATCGTAAAGGAGACGTGGGATTACGTGTCTTCCGAAGATCTTATAAGACTCATTCAGAGTATGCCAGCAAGATGTCAGGCTGTGACAGATGAGGATGGAGGACCAACCAGATATTAAGGCCCAAAAATATTCCAGCCACATGTACAGATCCAAGGTTAGGATAAGACTGTGGCTCTATTTTGTAATTCGAAAACCTTTGAACTCTTGTAAATAAGTTATTAAGTCAAGTAGCAAAAATGCACAAATCTTATCCAGCCGATCATTATACTGATTAGGTTTAGTATCAGGGAAAGACCCAATGCAAACTATGGTGTCCAGAAAATAATTGCCTAACAAAATTTTTAGAAAATTTGCACAAATATGGGGACTAGCCCCAATATGGAAGTTGACAATGCCTAAGTAATGTTAGAAAACACGCTAAAAACCCTGCCAAAGCCCGACTGCAAACTTGACACCGTGACATCACGGTAGACGACCTGCTCACTCATCCACTGCTCTCAGCGGGGACAAGACAAACTAGTCATTGCCACTACACATGACACGAAAGGGATTGGGGCGAGAAGAGCCGTTTCTCTGAGCAAATATTGTAGCTTTTTGGATTTAGGGGTCAAAGGAGTGATTTTGACCTGGGATTTGGAGTAGGGGGTTTGGTTTAGTTTGGTTTTTTTTAAATCATTTAGTGTGTATTCAGCTATCTAGCTATGACACATGACCGGTGCTAAAAGTCCTGAATATTCGTGAGAGAATTGATTAGATACCCCATTACCATCACCGTTCTCTTCCAACTCACATACATTTACACTAATCCGAATTCTCTCAGTAGCAAGACCCCGGATCTCCAACATGTCTTCGGGGCCTGCCAAATCATCGCGACCTATTCCCCTTCAAAGAACTATTGATAGAGCAAAAACCAGGCTAGAAAAGCGTTTGAAAAAAAAGGAACATACCATTGAGCTCGATAGACGGGCGAAAAATGGAGCTGGTGTGTGAATATTGGCGTTTATTTATTTGTTTATTTTTTTTTTTTATTATATTAAAGTCCTAAGCTAAAGCTCTAGGTCCACTATAGGTACAAGACTGGTGGAGCCGGCGGGGATCACTGCTTACAGGCCCAACTCATTCCAACCGCGAGACCTGCTACAGAAAAAGTAGGAGGTAAATTATAACTCAGAAGACACCACCTACTCCGACTCCGAAATCGAGACTCCATTCTTCAACCCTGAATTCAAGTACATAAAAGATTTCCTCAGAGAAACGGCTCTTCTCGCATCGATCCCTTTCGTGTCATGCGTTGTGGCAATGACTAGTTTATCTGATCCCCACTGAGAGCAGTGGATAAGTGAGCAGGTCGTCTATCAAAACAGCCGGTTTCCTGCGCAAAATTTTTGAAGCTATCGCGGCACTTGGGCCCGAGAAGCTTTTTGATAAAGTCAGCGCGGGACATTGACTTTCTGAGCCTACGCGTTTGTTGTGCGTGGCGACTACAATGGATAAAGTGGGTTGGTGTAGTTTCCTTCCCGCAAGAGCACTCCATGAGAGCGTATGGATTATTAAAACGGCGATGGTATGCCGCAAAATTGCCGTGGCCTGTTCGTGCTGCGATTAGTGCCCGGAGGAGGTGCCTAGAGAGAGACAGTTCGGGTGGTTTGCGTCTCAGCACCTGTAGGACGAGTTGGCGGTATTGAGGCGGACAGGCCTCTTCCCACCAGTCGTCTAGCAGCCTCTGTCGTCTGCGATTCATGAGAACACGTAGATATGCCAGAGTACATGATCCTGGTGGTGTCTCCTGGCTAGGTAACTCTCGAAGTGCGGCACGGGCAATGGTGTCTGCCTCCTCGTTCCCTTGAATCCCTGCGTGCCCTGGCACCCATTTTACCAATACTTTTGCCACTTTACTTAATGCACGGAATCTGCGTACATCTTCTAGGCTAGTTGAGGACGAGCCTGTCGTTAGTGCGCTTACAGCCTGCTGGCTGTCTAGAAACACGTAGATTTGCTGCGTCACTCCTACTTTCCTGCACTGCTCTTCCTCCGTAAATTTCAGTGCAGCCTCCAGAGCCTTCCTTGCTCCTGTTATTTCTGCATCCAGCACCTCTCCCCCGTGCTTGATGCCACTTCCTTTGCCTATGAGTTCCCCATCCTTCCTCAGAACGAAACCCTAGGCGGAGCGTTCATGTCCTTCCGATGAACCATCCGAGTATGCGCAAATGTCCGTTCCCGGTACCTCGCTAATCCGTCTCACGCAATCTTCGCGTTCCATCGACTTTGAGCCTGATTTCCTAGAGTAAACCACCGGCGTCAGACTTTCAGGGGCTTCTGCTTCCGGGAGCTCTCGGTAGGCACGCTGTAACCGTGACATCTGGATTTCTGGTCTGGCTGATGTTTTGGCGGTCTTTTTATATTTTTGGGTGCCGACATTCGGGCACACGGAAGCGCGGATTCTCAGAGGGTGTCGATCATCAAGGGTCTTAAGTCTTGCCGATAGTCGAAGTCGGTTTCCCTCAAGTATGACTTTTGCTGGCGGGATTCCTCCTTCTCTGTGAAGGACTATATTTGGTGTTGTC